ACAGCAGATATTTGCAATATTGTGATTGTGTGTACTATTCATTGCTCTCAGAAATGATTCGCAAACTATTAATTTTCTAAATTTCAAAAATATTCTCTAATAAAAATTCTCTTTCAAAAATAGGAAGACAACGATGTCCACATACTTGGTTTTGAAGCTAACATGAATAGGTGCATTTTTGAGTAATGTTTTATGTTTAATTCTAAACTTTATATTTTGATGCAACTATTGTAGGAATTATGTTCAATATCTATTAATACATCCGTTTTGAATACTTTCACTAATGTTAGTTGAATAGAAAATTGGCGAGAATGAAAAAATAAAGACAACAAACCGATTTAAATAAATCAAGAATTCAATTTGATGATTCCGAAAAAGAAGAAATGATTGGTGGTGAATCCTTTTACTAAATTCAATTGAATGTATTAGAATTGAATCTTAGGTTTATTATAACTAGAATATCATAATGTTGGGCAATTCATATACGATTTCACGTTATGTTTTCAAATTATTCAAAAATTATAGAACAATATAACTGGAATTGTTATTCAATCGCCTCCTTGTAAGTATATTAATTTCCATACTAATACAAATACCTACTCTATAACATAACAATATAAATAAATTCACTTACCATTTTGTGGGGTGCACCAATCACCAAATAGGACTCCAAAATTCACATTTTATACGGGCTGAACTGCACGTCTTCATCCTGGTTTTATTCCGATAGATTCGCTCGTACAAAAAAGTTTCAAAGTTCTTAAAAACCACTCACACGTGTTCACCATAGCAACGACAGTTAAACTATAATACTACAGAAACGTTTCTCGGGTTTAATCGTTATCAGTTGCGACGATCTCGCAAACAACGAAGAAGGATCACATCTTGACTTTCTCTTTTCGTAATAAGTAGCGCATCAAGCATTTTGTTATCCCAAGATCATTTATGTATAATTTTAAAGCAATTTCGTACTATACAATCTTTGTTCATGAATTTTCCGGACAACTTTTTCATTACTAGGAAAAAAAGAGGAAAAGCGTGTCTAATCAGTCTGGTTAGGACTGAATATCTAATGATGATGGATAGGTATCGACTTTTAAGATTCATTTTAAAAAGATAAAGTACATGGTGGAAAAATTGTTAGTGGCTTAAATGTAGTTACTCAGAGATGAGGAAATTAAATAAGTACAATTTATTAACACTTACGTCAGCTACAACACTACAATATACTTTGTACAAAACTGAATTACTGTCAAAAAGGGTACATTTTAAATTAAAGAAATAACCCCTAGCATTATTATTAACTACCAAACTTGTACTATGTAACAAGAAAGAAGACCCACTAAATTTGACAATAAAAGCACAGATGAATATTCCAAAATATTTTCCAATAAGTCAGGTCCGTACCTACTCAGTTTTTTGAAAGATGCTCAAGTGTTATTTCTTTAACGTGTAGTTACTTGTTTATCAGCAATGTTCTTCTGTGTAATAGTACGGAAACAATAAGCAAGACGATATTTGATATAAGTTTTCTTAAATTAAAAGGTCCGTGTGTAATGTGGATAAGTATCGATAAATATTTTCGTAAAAATCACAAAACTACGTGAATTATGTATATGCACTATACCTATCAGTAATAGTCGAACGAAAACTATTTACAAAACTTTACAACAAAGTATTTTTTCAATTAAAAATGAAACTTCATTGCACAGGATTTTATGTGATTGAACGGCCTCTAACGTATGGGCTTATCATATTGATACGAATAAATAGAATACAGTAATAGTAGAATCACAAAAAAAAACAAAATTGTTTGTGTATGTGTTGTGTTTTAGCTGTATGTACATCTTACGTCATACGGTTAATGTGCTTACTTGGCTAATTTGTAAATAAACTACAAAATACTGTCCAAATGTCTGGTTTGACTGATATGTTTATGGTCATAAGATTACGGTAAGAGAAGACAACACTCACGAAGGAGGTGTATGACAACAACAGCACTCTCTTAGCATATCCATCAAGCCAAAGATTTGGATAGTTTGTATACCATTCAGCTAATTTAAAACTTGCAAGTACGCATATTAACCGTAACAGGTGTACAACATTATAGCTTAATCTTCCGCTGTCGAAAATGACTAGCACATATGTGTATTTGTATGTATTCGTGTCTTCTAAAACAATTTATTATTGTATAACTACTGATAATGCTGATCAATTGTTTTTGGGAAAAGCTCAATTCATTAAAGAAGTGGAACAATTTTTGGTTTTGAGTAATGAATACTTATACAGGGTGTAGTTTCTAAACATCATGTTACTTCTTATTTATATTCAAGTGCCTTCTCTCTAAAACAATTTTTGTGTAATTTTGTTCCTTTTAAATAAAACCATTATCCCCTGAAAATTGTACAAGAAAATCAAATGGAGTTCTGTGGTGTTGAACTAAATAGGAGACTAAAACTTAAAATTGAATGTCCAGACGCGTTTCTAGTTTTTATATGAGATTTTGGGTTTTACTATTTTATTTTCTTTGACAATTGTAAAAAATTCCACGCCAGAAAACGATGAATTTTTGGGCACTAACCTTTGTCACAACGTATTAGCCATAAGTACATGTATTAAGTATGCGTATATTTCGTCTTCGTCCGTTGGTAAACCAAAACCAAAGAGCCTAATTTGTATTTTTTTTTTTTTGGTCTAAGTCTTCGAGTTTTCTTTCATTCTACTGTAACATGCAGTCTTCTTGACGTTTCATTAATAGAACTAGATACAGTGTGTCACAAAATTACATAAATAGTTCTAAGTATCTGACTAAGATGATGCCATAAGTTTAGCAGCGGCAGTTACGTGGTGCTGATGGTGATAAGCTACATCATTGCCTCCTGGTGAGGCACCGAATCCGAACACTTGTTGGAATGGATACGACTGGTTTTGAAGGCAGCTGTAGTCGTATCCAGGCTCACTTTTAATGCCGTTCGAAGCGGCTGAAAGGAGGGACGTTTGACCCAAATAAGGACGTTCGATAGGGGATCCTTTTGATGAATCTTCCATATGATGAGAATTGTGAGTATTGGAGGTAGTTGATTGGGACGATTGCTGGGAGTTGTGTTGAATCACGTTTGGTTTTGAGTCTGTGAATATTTTTTTCTCAGTGATAGTTCATCATCCTTGTATGAAAAGTAGGTATTAAAAGTTTTAAATATCTTCATTTTCATAAATAAACGACATTCCACTCAAAGAAGAAAATTTTGGCAAAAAACTAAAGACAATTACAATTGTGTCCAAAAAAGTCAATTAAGTCAAAATTTAAATTTGCGAAAATGTTTAGAAATGTAACTTAATACTTAATGATTAATTGGAACAGTGAAAATTAAGTGGTTGTGTGTCAACTTTTTTAAATTCGAGCACCTAGAGCCATCTGGATACCAGATGAAGATTCACTGGAAAATCGCGAAGAAAATTCTACAGGAATTTTCCTGAACTAGTAGTTTTCATTAAGGTTTTCTTTATAACAGCATCACTGTTTAACTATTACAGTAGTAAAGTATAAAAAAGAAAATATTATGAGTATATTTATAAAATTTTTGAAATGAAAAGTGAGTACATTCAGTTGTCATTATTATTACAAGGATTCTATGATGCTGCAGGATTATATTACACTTATTTTCACTGTAGAACATACAACTCACAGGAGGAAAACCGAAAATAAACGGAAAAATTAAAAACTAACTCTTTCCTTGAGTCTTCATCATATTTGGTAAAGCGAGTTCAAGCAAGTAAAGCACGTTCAACAACACTAAAAGTATTAATTAATGATACTTTACATTTCTAAGAAATATCGAGTAGCAGGAGTTCAAAGAGGTAAGAAGGTAGCTATTAGTGAAGTATATGAGGGGGGTCAGCCTGCAAAGCAGTCGTATTATAATGAGGGGCGGTCCGTAGAATCAGGGGGGACTTTTTTTAACATAGAATAGGAGGCGGCTCTTACCGTCCACGGAGGCAGAACCATTTTCATCTCGGTCCCCACCAGCCGGTTTCTTCGGTTTCCGTTTTCGTGTTTGAATGCCGTCCTTGCGCATCGCAAGGGGTCGATTCACCCCATGGAGCTTGAAGTAAAGTCCGCAGGCGTTGCACACAGGGTCGCCGTCGTTATTTCGACGCCAGAGCGTCGTCGTCCTTGTGCCGCAGTTAGTGCAACACAATCCTAGCCGTCGAGTTGCAGTCTGAAAAGGAAAAACGGAATGCGTACTTACCCCAGCATTAATTTCTTTTGTTTACCTCATTGCTCCAGTGAGCAAACTAACAGGGTAGCAGAGATATAAAAGATGCTGCCTAAAAGTGCCCTATTTTCTATCTTAGCGTAGAAACCTTGTGACGGGTGCTACATTTTTAAATGTTCATTTTAAAAATTCAAATTTCGAAATGANTTATTAATTTATAAGCTCTACGATTGTCTTTTTAAAACCTCGCAAAAACTGACCTTCAATAGTCAAAGTCAATTTCTTGTTTCATACCTATTTCAAACCCTAACATCTTCACTCTTTTCGCTGTGACTTTATTATGATTTACAAACGAAACTAAAAGTAACATTTGGAACATAAACTTTAAGATTTAATACTGCATTAATATAGACACATAAAGCCGTTGCAGTTTTATTGTGGGGTCCCTCTGCTGCTATCGTAAAGATAATGTTTTTATAGAGGTACTTATTAAAATTGTTTTTTAAGTAGGTATACATGTATACCATTACAATTCTTCACTCCCGGCTAAAAGAGCTAAATTTAACTTTTACAATAACTTAGTGACATAAAATTTTCAGACAAACGTAATAATCGTCGTGTTTTCTGATGGATAAAATTAAACTACCTTTTATACACAATATTGACACAAATAGCTGTTCATGTTTATTTGTTTTAATAATTAGGTAGATACCTAAAGTATTCGTGAAAATCAATTTTGGACATTGCACCCACATCAGCGATGCAATTAGCAATTCAAAACTAAAATGACTGCTTAAAAAAATAATAAAGCCTCGCTGCAATATGTTACCAATTGAGATATGTATATGTATATCTATTACGCTTTTTTGTTATAAGGTACTACGTATTACCCGCGGATTCGCTCGCGTATTGTCCTAAATAAAAGGTCCTGGACGACCGCATAAACCTAATTTTTCTATTTCTCGGTAACAATACATTTTTTTCTGGATAAAAGGTACCCTATCTTCTATTCTCTACCCCTGACAACGTGTGTGTAAAAGTTTCATAATGGTCGGTTGAGTAATTAAGATGTGAAATGGTAACAAACAAACAAACAAACACATTCGCATTTATTATTTAGGATTATTTATAAAAATATAAACTTTTCTTACCAGTCGTTTTGACGGTTTGATAAGAGGTCTGTTCATTCCGTTCATTTTATGGTACAAACCACAGGCATTACAGAGATAATGTCCGGTACCATCTCTGCGCCAGAGCGGTGTAGATATCGCACCACAGTTGACACACTCCCTGCCCTCCCCGAACTGAAATTCCATACTGTCTGCGAACAACAGAACAACTTATACAAAGCAAAATATATCATTAAAAAAATCTAAAACAGTATTTGGGTGCTTTGAGTGAAGTCCATCAAAAGGTACTAAAAATCGAGCAACGAAAATAGTCCTGCAGCTTGACTATCATTTGTACTACACTATAAAGTAAATTTTTGAATTTGATGCTGTTCATAAAGTACATTAACATATCTTGCCTCATTCTCGCATTACGATAAAGACTGCATTTGGGCCTTATGAGGAAAAATCATCGCTACCTCATCATAAGGTCGTCAGTCCTAAGACTGGTTAGACACGCACCTCCACTCTTTCCTATCCTGAGCTAATCTTCGCATTTCCCTAAAACTAGAACAACCCACATCCTTAACTATTTGCGAACAATAACCTATTCTAGGTCTACTTCTACCCCTCCTAACTCCCGTTTCTGCCTCTAATATGTCTCTGACTAAACCTTCATGCCTGAGATGGTGTCCTACCAACCTATTTCACCTATTTCTTACTATATCTTATTCTTTCTAAAACCTCTTCATTTCTAAACCTGTAACCTTTCCTGTAACACCACATTTCGAACGTTTCAAACCTTTTTTTCCGCCGCGTCCACTGTCCATGTTTTGTACCCGTACAGTGCCGTGCTCCAAACATACACCCTTAACAATCTTTTTCAAATTTCTAAATTAACCTTTCGCGAGCATAGAAGTGACTTCTTTTTATTGAAGGCGACTCGACCCTGCGCTATCCCCTGCTTTATATCCCTACTACTCCTTCCGTCCTGACTTATCTGACTTCCTAGATACCTAAAATCAACCACTTCTTCTAATTTTTCGTCTCCTATCTTTATATTCGCTCTTCCCTTAAATTTTCTTCCCTTGCATCGTCAACTGCTTTATATTTTGGGAGAACAATGCGATTATAAATACCCAATCGAAAAATGATTTCGGAACCTACTTGTGGAAATATCATTCTATCATTTGCCACATGAAGCCCTCATGCTACGTGAAGCACAAATTCTATCCAGGAGCAGAGACATTGAAAATAGAAAATTAAAAAACATTGAGACCCATTGAAGTTAATTTTATTAACGTTATTGTTCATTAGTTGCTCTTAATTGGTCTGACTTAAAAGCTTGTAAGGATATTCGCCTGAAAAGTTAATAGGTATGCCTGCTATCTCTTAATTCATGTCGGTAAATCACGTCGTTACTTTTATCACAAACATATCAATTCTACGCCGCTATGCAATATGAATTAGTACATGAAATTGCATTGCAATATACACAGCAAGACTGATAGAGAATGCTGGAAATATTAAATCGATTCGTATGTATGTATACATATTTGAAGTATAACTGTATCGTTATTGTAACTGACATTATCAATAAAATAAGCGTTATTTATCTGGTATGTATTACCTACCTCATAAACGATACATAGTTGTAAGCAGCAACTTTTGCAGATACTTGAGTTGGTATAGGTACGTATACGAAAGAAAATATGTCACTAATTTAAGAGTATACCTACAAAGTGTTCAATAAACAGTAACCTAAATAAATTTGTGTAAAAAAAATATGTGTGTGTACAAAATAATTTATTGGATTTTAAATTATCAAAAGGTCCTGATCCACTCAAAAAGAAAATATGTTCTACTTTATTCTTTTTGATAAAATACATTCAGTTCATTTCAAAATATGAAATATGTGCCTACGTAATAAATATGCGGCAGGGATAACACCAGAAAACTTTTTAATTAATTCATTTTTGTGAAATAATCCAGGCGTCCGACTCCTGTCTATTTTTAGCATCATTTGCTCCAGTCAGAGCCACTTGCAATACGCTTTTATTATTAAATCGATTTCTAACAGAACCGGGATAGATAAGTGTCTGACATAAATAATACCACAAACCATTAAGTCCTAGTACTACTAATGTACTCATGTATACATGCATACGCTCTTTCGGTTTCCCTATGTGTGTGCGTGGAGCATTCCGAACTCTTCGGTGCCGATGCTTCGGTACTGCACTGTACTATTATCTAGATATATTCCAAGAGCGATAGATCAAGGCGGTCTCTGGTTTACGGCCTGCTGTGCGGCATCAGAAACTGATAAGGATTCACATCAGTATAAATCAGACTTCAAACAAAACAGCCGAGAAGCCAGACGCGAAAGTGATCCTAGATTTCAAAGGCCGACAGGGATGTGACGTCTTTATAAAATACGTAGGTCCCTACACGTTAGATACAAAATAATTATGACGTAAAACTGCTTACTTCAATGGAGATCTATTTTTATCAATACGGATCGATGCGGACGTCCGGACGAACGCCAGGACGACGCTATTCGTTATAATTATAATCGTTTCTTGATGTATTGATCTTAAAATGACGAGATCAATAGACAAATTAATGTTGACAGAGGTCCTAATGGTGGCATCGGGACGTAGTAGAGATTTCCAATCGTTCCCGAAGTTACAAAGAATTAAAATAGTTGAATTTAAGTTGAATTAAAAGGAATGTAGTTACTACCGCTTCCACACGTCTGTTTAGTTCTTTTCTTGGATGAAAGCCCATAATCACCTGAGTGTTTGCATCCATCAAAAATTTTTGGGAACATTGCTAAGAATTAAGAGCCCCATGATGGCTGTAAATAGGTATAAAGTCAAGACAAAAAAATATACAACCAATAGTAAGGTATGTACAATTCTAATTGCTAATACTAGATTGTCAATAGATTTACGTAAGATTTCGTTTATTATGACTTCGCCTATATTGACCAACCGCTTAATATGAAATAATTGCAGTGTCAATTTTGGTTTTCATATTCAATTTTGCAAAGTTTGGATATAATGACTCCGTTTAAAATGACATATCGTTTATTATGACTGATTCTCAAGAAATCATATCCGGCTATAGTGATTCAAATGATTAATCATAACATTTTCGCTCATTTTTCTGACCCTTCTTATGTATATTGATATTACAATTCATCGGTCTTTTTCTTTTTCTGTTAATAAATACATATACAATTTGTAGCTTTTCTCTCTATTAAACTAAGTAACTAGCCAAAATAGAAAGTTGTTTATTTTCTAAGACTATGCTTTGTATGACGCTCGCTTAGTATGACATGTTTCTCATTTCCCTTCGATGTCATTACAAGCGGATTCTACTGTATTTCAATATCCTTACCATACGGTGAAGTCCTTTGAAACCCGGCACCATCGTACGCTCTCCAACCGCCCATCATCATGTTCTGGGCATAAAACTGTCCCGCAGACAAAGCCCCGGCATGATGCGGACTCGTCCCCAAACCGTGAGCCGCAGGATTTCCAACATCTCCATAACCACCGGCATGGGAATGCCACGAGGACTGATGGGCTGCAGCAGCCCCAAAATGTCCGCCCGCCGGTGAGGCATACTGGGCCATTCCTCGGCCACCAGCGGGGACGTACACGGGGGACTGCTGCAGGTGCTGGTGGTGAAAACCGGCGGCGGATGAGTCGGTGCCGTAGCCTCCCGTCGCCGCCCCCGACGAGTGGAACATACCGGCGTCTGCGCCGAAATGAATGACGACGTCGTCAATGGAAATTGGCGTCGATAGTCGTCCTTTACGAAGAGGGAATCCTGCAATCAAATGAAAAGGGTATTATTTTATGATATTTGGATTGGTTGTCTAAAGTCTAAAGTATTAATGGAACAATGCTATTTATCCTGATTAGAATGTGGCTAACGAGGGGCATGCCGATATAGGGATTTCCCCTTAGATTCCTCATGAAAATCCAACCAAAAAAAGTGGTGATACTAAAATGAGGATTGCCTTATGGGTTTTTCATATGGGTCTTAAGAGGCAAACCAGGGGGCAACCTCATGGGGCCCACAAGGTGTAGTGGGCTACTCTTCAAAATTCTAGTCGGGTATTTATATACTGTTCTTAATTGTAATAATGATACATCCATTTTATTTCGTTCTATAAAACGTTTTCGTTAATGAAACAGGAATTTCTTTAGTTATACATCCAGGGCCTTGAGCAGACGTTTGCGTTCGTGTCTTTTTATTTTAATGCTACCTTTCTCGCTTAAACTAGAATATGTAATTAACAGTTGTCACTTTAATCTCCGATTGATATATTCGTGTCGGAACAAGTGATTCGAGAGCCACGTTTAATGGATTTCAGTGTTCCAGGACTCCATTTAACCAGCCAGCTAACTCTTGCATATTCATAAGCCGCACGAAATGCAATAAGTCTTTGGTTTAATGATTGATCGCGTACGTTCGTACGTCGATCAACGTTGTGTTGTTTGTTCAATGCTAGTATGAATTCTCTTTCGGGACCGCCTTTGTGATTACTTATTTGGGAAATCGGAGAACATTTCGTGCACAACATCCTTGTACTAAGTGGGCGTCGAAGGTGAACGATGTAATCCACTAATAGGATAGGTTTACTATTAGTAAAACACCTGACTTATTAATAAAAACGAAAAGTGGGACCCCTTCAAACAAAAATTATCATGTACATGTTCTATCTTATCTCACGATTATGAGCTGATACTGTCTCTAATGAGCTATGCAACAAGAAGTTGGAGATTTCGTCAGCTTGGAGAACTTTCAACAAGAGATATACGCTAAAGCGTGAATCCCAGAAAAAGACTTACAAGAATGAACTGAGAAAATGTATCAAAGAGTTTTGGGCATCTTGATGAGGAACCGTATCGTCAGTCGAACTTGGGAAAACCGTGAAGCTCAAAAATTTGAAACACGACTAGGAAAATGTAACAATTTAGACTAGAAACTAAGTAATATCTAATCAAGAAGCTATTTTCATTCAAATTCACTGCTTCTGTTGATAATCAACTTCACAAAATGAAAATGTGGGAAGAAAAGGAGGCGATAATGGGATAGGGACGAAGTCTCTTACGTTCATAATAACTTCTAACCGTTTGAGTCACTCCTTGCCCACTACGCGTAAGTAATTAATAATTACATACACGTATGTCAGTACCATAATGACTAATTAAGTAGAATAAGCTCATGCAGCTTAATTTAGTCGATTAGCTTACTTATTTTTATGTTTTAAGAAAGCCCAAGGTACTCAGTCACTTGTCCCATGTGTGTGCGTGTTTGTAGCCGGGAGTTATAAATTGGTGCGGACAAGCGCGGATATCTGTTCCTATCTCGGTACTACCAGAGAATGTGGTGGTGTGAGCATGGGCAAAAGTGCGTGGGTACCCCGACACTGGTTGATTCTTATCTCGACCTAATGCCTACTCGCGATCAAATTGTGAGTGACATACATAAAGTAATGCGGTGGAAGACTTCGAAAATGGTCCAGTTTACCTTTTAATAGATGCACGGACAGGGCAGTTAACATAGAAATTATACCATCGGAAGGCTGTTGGACAGTTGCCACTTAACTGATTGGTGCTATGTTAACGGCCAGTGATACGACTCTAACATTTTTCTCACTGAAATGCATGTAGATATCTATATATCTAGGCGTCCACACAACTATGTGTATACGTACGTATATATGCACCTACCTAATAATTTACATTGGTCGGAATGGGTAAAAGAATTATCCATTACCTAGTTTATGTATTTGCTACATATTTTTCGCACTCTGCTGTACAGTATAATTCGCAAAATTTAGATAAAAAATCTTAATAAAAGTCAAAAATTTGATTGAGAATACATAATGCGTACATAGACTTCGACAATTATGAAAGGTAAACCATCAAGTTGTATAGAGGAATACTCAAGTTTTAAACGATTGAGATTGATTGTAGTAGGTTGTATTTTGTTACCGTTTGTAAATTGAAGTGATTTTTCTGGAGATGTACTTAAATTTCAGCGAGTTAAAAAATGCGAACATCTCCAGATGTCCCGAGGAAAAGGTTAGGTTAAGTTAGGTTAGATTGCATAGATCATTATTGGATTCGCTGTAATAGCATTTTTGGTTTCTGCCATTGCTGCCTAGGACAGACCTGTCCTAATTGCAACAATTTTTATTAGAGCTTCTATCAGAAATTGAAAATCTGCTATAGAGTTAACCTCAACTTTTTGACACATTAAAACAATTGCAAATATAAAGTTATTACAATCGGAACAATTCGTGTAGGTGTTCGGATCTGCTGCGGGCAGAAATGACAGAATCGGAAAATTGTCGAAACTGGGATGTCAAAATTACAATTACTTTTCTAATTGCGTAATATCGTGTACAACTATTTGTAGAACTTTCTTGTTTTTCTTATATACATATGTTTAATACATATTTTGCAACAAACGGTTGTCAATTTAGAGAATTAGTGAAGAAAATGAGCTTACAACAAAATTGTTTAAGCGTCATTTTCTTATTGATGCGATTTGAACGTAGATCTATGAATCTAACAAGGAAACGATCACGTGATTTGTGAGTGTTTATCGATTTACGTGAGTTAAAATTTGATCGTATGATAAGAAAATCGAAATAAAAAAACTATCAGACAGATTAATACCACAACTAAATGTTGCCGTTAGCGATCTATACCTGAAATAATATAATAATAATAAACGTGCGGGCGTGATTTAAAAATGCACTTTATTGTATTCTGTGTTTGCAAAAGCAGTAAGAACATTGACTGATAAACGACTTGAGGGTCTTGAAACTGTACAACTGCTGAGATGGTGAGTCTATTTAATATATTTTATTTACCTAGTACCTAATTAAAAAAAAAATCATTTGAGTACGAAAACCTATACAGAATGGATGAAAATTTTATAATTCTGGGTAATCTTCTTTCGCAGATTAACTAAATAAATCAGTTTTGATACCTATTAAATAATCGATATTTTATTGATTACAAATATATTAGAAATGTGAAAATTAAGGGACGGTTTTCTGTACACATGCTAATGAAGTTCTTCGTAGTTAATGTTNTCAATAAGAAATAGGCGAGATAGGTTGGTAGGACACCTTCTTAGGCATGAAGGTCTAGTCAGAGACATATTAGAGGCAGAAACAGGAGTTAGGAGGGGTAGAGATAGACCTAGATTAGATTATTGTTTGCAAATAGTTAAGGATGTGGGTCCAACCACTCTTAAGTCTGACGACCCTATGATGAAGATGATATAATTTTTACCTGAAGATTCCATCCTAGACCTTATGATGATGAAGATGAAGATTACATTAAATTGAGGCCAGTGAATCCCAAGTTTTATCAAAATTCTGGGAAGACTTGTTGAATCTACCTAAATTTTTCCCAAAACGCCCCTGTGAAAATCTAGCATTTCGAAACCAAGTCTCTTTCGATAAAAAAAATTATTTACAGACATTTAGGGTAAACAGAGATGGAAAAAATTATTGTCGCCTTTGATATTCCCAAATATAACCACTTAACATTTGAATAAATTGTTTTATCAATTGCTAATGACTGCTTAAATATTCCTATCGAATTATCAACAAATGTGGTGTAAAAGGAGGATGATGATGTGGATAAAATAGGTTAGAAAGGAGGAGGTATTGGAACGAATAGGAAAACAAGGGGCGCTTTGAAGTAAATAAGAGAAAAAAGCAGAAACAGGACTAAAGGGTGGAGATGTCTAAGTAGTCAACGACTTCTAAATTTCCAAAGATTATCTGAATACTCCAACCGATTTATCAAAGCAAAAGGGTAATTTACAAAATGCATGAATTCATTTACGAACAACTATTCTACTTCTTAATTATTAATTATTGATGTACATCTATACCAAATAATTAATTCTAGAGACAGAGTCTGTTCAATAAATGATATCCAGTCGAACTCGATCTTCTAAAACTGGAAATTTCTTCTAATTCGAATATTTTATTTGTTCTCTTGACATACACATATTGTTTTAAATTTAATGTTCCTCAGATATTAACTCGAATTTTTCCATTTCTCTAACTCAAAATTCGTGTGCAGACATTACATTGCAAATTGTTCCTCTAATTCGAATTTCTATTCATTTTCTTCGGAAAAATCAACCGCAACGATAATCAAAGGTTCGAGTTTTTAAGCAGAGCTATTTCCACCACAAATTTTCACTGAGAAACTCACTATTATATCATTAAAAAGTGCATAAAAGGCAGCTATATTTGGATCATATAGTTCTAGTAAAAAATACTCATCTAAAATTATAAGGATTATCAGCAGTGGGTTTAAAGTAAAAATTTCCTTTAATTCCAATTTTCTCTAGGAGGTTCCAGTTAGGAAAATTGTTAGTGTATTTTCACTATATTAGTCAACGAATTTGGTTATCAAATCATTATACTGTGCTATCCAATGCATAAATGATAAAATAGAAAACAATTGCTTCATGTTCTCTCTCTTATTTACGATTAGTAGATGTTTTTAATCAGAGAAAAGGTGTCTCTAAAGATGCCGAACAATTGAGGATTAATCACGGTAACTAGTATCATAAAATTCGGTTCGTTTATTTAAACTGTACACCACTTTCGAAATCGTCAATTTTAATGACGCGAACGGCTCTGTTTTAAAATTAATGCAGTTTTCTTGTCACTTCAGTCTATTTTACTGCTTACAGCATGTAATTGAAGAATTTAACGGTTTGTATCATCTTAAGTAGATATATCAAACAATTTAATTGTTCGTTTCGTGGGAAACGAT